AGGCAATGATAAAATCTCACTGGTTATATTTCTCCTCAGCAAACATAATTCTCATTTTTTAGAATGAACGACTTAACTTTTAAATATTCAATTTTAGGCAGTTTTAAAAATTTAATGTGACATAGTTACTGACTGTTACATAAATTTTGGCCCAACAACTCACACAAGTAATTTTTGCTAGTTTGTAAACATTATAAAAAGGATGATATTTGTCATTCTACTCAACATATGATTATTTGTGTATTTAAATATTTAATTCCTAAATATTTACTAAGCTGTAATAAGCTCTTCAATTATAAAATATTGATTAGGTCCTATTTTTCTTTGTAATTAAGGAAAAAAGAAAAGAGGCCAGGCATGGTAGTGTGCACCTGTAGTCCCAGCAACTTGGTAAAACTGAGGCAGGAGGCTTATCTGAGCCCAGGAGTTTGAGGCTGCAGTGAGCTATGACCACACCTGTGAATAGCCACTATACTCTGGCCTGGGCAACATAGTAAGACCTCGTCTCTTAAAATAAAAAAAGAGTATTTTTGTACAATTAAATTTTATATTTGAAGAAGTATAATTTTTTGTATTGGTAAATCAATTAGCTACCATTAAATTTATTTTACCTTAGAAAATAAATATAGGGAACAAAAAGAAAATAAATATAGATATTTACATCTATCAACTTACCCTCTAACACAATTCCAGCAATTTCTCTCCCAACAGGAAAGAAATCCTTCTTCATCTTCATTTCTGCCAGAAGCTAAATCATGACAAAGGCTGTTAACACATTATTGTCAAGAATAAATCCTAGGTTCTCTCATACACAAGGAAATCAAGAGCAAAAATCCAACCACAGAAAGAAAAAATATGACTCAATTTTTAGAATTAAGACAAAGCAAATAACTTTACCCAATAGAGTAGGAAATCAAGAGTTTGCTGAGGAATTAGTTGATATATAGGACTTAGAAATGAATATTATTATTTAAATTACCATTTACATCCTTTGTTTAACTTCTTTACTCTGCCAAGTATGAAGGGAAATTATGGCCCAAACATTTCTTGGTTGGCTAAACACTGTTTATCAGTCATCTTATTCAAGTGTGGTGAGGGGAATGGAGAGGACATTGTTACATAAGGAGGTTGTGGCCAATGAGAATAGAAGGTTCTCTATTCCCACACCCTTTAAAATCACCTAAGTTTTTCTCACAAGTCTTGGGTTAGGGAGCAGGTAGGAAGAAGTGATGGATATTCATAGGGAAATTACTGTATTTCAGATTCATGGTGATTAGAGTTTCTTTTTTTAAGGTTAAATTTTTATTTTGAAGAGATTAGTATTTTGTTAGGTTCTGACCAAATTAATTATAAGTATTTGTCTTTTGAAGTAACAGAGTATACTAAGACAAGCCTATTTAAGTTCCTGCCATTTATAATAATACTAGAGATGCTGAATATTTGTAGATATCACAGTATTTATTTAAGGAACAGTAAATAAAAAGAAATTGAAATAATTATCTTCTCTATTTTCTTTATTTTTCACTTTTTTGATCTCCTGTATGTATACTTGATTGTCAGAAGTCTTTTTTTCAACATAGAACTTTAACTTTTCCTATGTTCACATGACATTCTTATAAAAAATACTGGGTGTTTTACAGTGTTTCTTTTATGAACATTTCCAAAGTTATAATCATGGTTTTAGCAATTTCATCCTACCTCCTTCACTTATCATAAGCATTTTCTTACATTACTACACAGCTTTATACCATTATGTTTAATAGATGTGCAATATTTCATCCAATTGATTTTACCATAATTTATCACTGCGTTCAGTTAGACAGGGAGATTATTTCCTACACTTGCATTGTAATGGATTTTTCATAGTTTTAATAAGAACATTTTCTGAATACAGACGTCTGCAGACAAGGTCTAGTATTAGTATTCGTGGTGAAAAGACTTCAGGGATCTCAGAATTCATTGTTCAAATCATGCTCGTGTTACAGAGTTGTTCAGTGGAAGCCTATACCACGTTCTGCAATTTCCCTAAGTGTGACTTCATCATAGAAAACTTTTAGGTTCCTTAAAATTATGGTGACATTATAATCCAATAAGTTAAAGGTCCAGTAAACTATGGTATTAATCTCTCAAAAACTGAGTAAATGGACTTGTTCTATTTATCATGTCACATTTAACTGGAGTTTATTTACCATTTGAAAACTTTCCATGTATTTCATAGTCAATAATAAAAGATTACTACAGGGTGGTATGAGGTAGAGATATGTGTTTATGAGAGAAAGGGAGACAAAGAGAAATAACAAGAATAATATGAACCATATCTAAAGACATTAACTAGAATTATCTACAGAATTGGTGGTTAATAAATGAACTGATTAGGTTTCTAGTTTCTATCTTTATTGTATTTATAAAGGTAACTCTTTCCTTATTAATAGGTCTTACTAATTATAAACTCTCAGGCCAGGCTTGGGAGGCAAAGGTGGGAGGATCACTTGAGGCCAGGAGTTTGAGACTAGCCTGGGCAACATGGGAAGACTCATCTGTACAACAAATAAAATCATAAATTAGCTCGGCATAGTGGTGTATGCCAATAGTCCTAGATACTTGGGAGGCTGAGGCAGGAAGGCTGCCTGAGCCCAGGAGTTTGAGGCTGCAGTGAGCTATGATCATGCCACTGCACTCCAGCCTGCGTAGCAGGGTGAGATCCTGTCTCAACAACAACAACAACGACAACAAAAACAAACTATAAACTCTCAGTGTTCTGCAAAGTAAAGGAGTTTATAAAATATCTTCATATAATGATATACATGACTTCAATCAGACTAGTAATTTACCTCAATGTTGAAATATATAAATGCACATTAAATTTTTTCCCCTAACTGTTCTATTCTTCTAAGGATGATAATTTCTTGGCACACAGAAGTCAGTTATCATTATATTTGTACTTTAAACGTACTAAGAAACTTTCATTTGACTTTTGGCCATAATAAAAACACTAATACCTTCATATTTATCTGGCTCAGAGCACAAGCTTTAACTTGAAGTTTCACGAAGTTATCCTCAGCAACGGGAAGATTTTCCTAGAACCGAATGATAAAAATATGTTACACATTTCCATGGGAACATGCCTTTATGCTTTGAAAATTTTCATGTATAATTGAACAAAATTAAACCATCCCCAAATCTTCTGGTTAACAATTTAAAAAGCTACAAGTAATTATCCAACAGTATATAATCAAAAAGAATGAAGGAATCTGGGGTACAATTTTTAAAAAGCTTTATTTTGATAAACACTTAGATACTAACATGGATATATGTGTAGACAATAAACTTAGGATAACAAAGAAGAGCAATAAATACTGTACTTTATTTTAACCTAAATAATCTCAAAACATCAGATCTTCCCACTTACAGGGATATCTTTATTTTATTTATTTATTTATTTATTTTTTTTGAGACAGAGTCTCACTGTGTTGCCCGGGCTAGAGTGCTGTGGGGTCA